CTGGAGTTTTGAAGGCCCCATGATCATCCCATAGGAAGCCCTGAAGATTCCCAGCCAACACCTGAGACCCCCACAAGACCCCCACAAGAACCCAACTAAAACCCCGTAACATTCCCAAGGAGCTGCAGCCATTAGCTGGAAACAATCATTCTTAGACTCAAAGTACTAACCGTTCTAACCTTTTAGGCCCTACTATATCCATACCCATGCCATGCCCAGGTTTGGGTTGCTGACTGCTGCAAATGGCATTGCTCTTGTTCTCTTTCAAATGCCATTACCAAACCCCCCCTGTGAATGGTAGAGCGGATGGCAGCAATGTACTTTCCCAAAGGTTCAAGGATCAAACTCCCGCTTGAGTATGATGGATCTAATCACTAACCAGGCTTTCAAGCACCCACGATAGAAAGACGCCACGTCGATTTTCCGTATGGCGCACAGATCGCAGATGGATGGTAGAAAAGGGCAGACCGCTTGAATGGCAACGGTCATTTCCATGCAAAGACAAGTGCTTGAGGCAACTGGATAGTCAAACACAAAGCAAACCAACGTCAAAATTCACACCGATCAAAATTTTCTCTTGCCTCAAGACTCGTTTCAGTGGCCAGATCCCCAAGACAGTAAAGAGCATACATCTCGGGATTTTGCTGGGACTGTTTCAAAGCTCGGACTCTTTTGGCAGACTGATAGGATGGATCATAAACGATTCTCCACATGCTTCCTTGAAGTGCTCGAATAAGACCTTCATGTTGCCATGGTTTTGTCAGAGCATCTGACATCTGTTGGTCACTGTTCACCCATCGTAGGTCCACCAGGGCTTGCTGCAATCTCTGCTTGATGGCTAGTAGTTCAATGGCCGTCCTCTTTTCCTCTAGCTGTAAACCTGCAGTCTCAATTTTACAAACAGCATCAAAAACATTCTTCGCATCAACAATCATACAAGTTTTCCAACGGCTCAAAAACAGGTCCGAGTTAGCGAGGACTAAAGGTTTGGGACTTTCCAGTTCCAAAAACGACAGCTTAACAAACTCATGAAGATCCAAGGCATTGGCACACATTTGTGTCTCCGCACTAGTTGATGATCGAGCCACTCTTTTCAAACGACGGCTACTCCAAGAAATCACATGAAAGGGGGGTTTTACAACCATTCAGGGCTCCTTCTTCCATTAACAGAGTGATTTGACCCCCTTGAGAGCTACTATCGCGCCGTGTGGCCCAACTCGCATCAGTGAAAGTGACAAGAGTGCATTTGTTTTTCATGGGAGGAAAATACAGACCCTGATCAAAGTACTTACGATTTAAACGGATGAGTTTGTTGACCAATAACAAATCAGAAACCATGCCACTCTCCACGCACCCTTGCAGCAGAGACACTGTTGCTAGCATCCAAGGTGCCGTTTGAGTAGCCCGCCAATTTAGGGCTCCCAACCGCTGTCTCATTTCAGTCTTCTCCTGAGTAGAGATAGGATCTTGAGTCTGCGCACGTCGTTCCTGAGAAAGGACAATGTCTGAAATCTCCTGAGCAAAACGTTCTTGTTTTATCTGAATTCCAAAATTCGGATCCTGACGAATCTCACAACCACAATACGTCAGAGTAGTTTCTTGAGCATTGTCCCATGATCCAAACTTGAATTTGGCTTTTAGCCTTGTCAAAGCAGCTTCATATTCCGGACCCGAACCCGTGGTAATGACATCATCAACATGAATTCCAAGGTAACCAACAACCTCACCAGCATGAACACACTTGAAAAGACACTGATCCAATTGATGTTGAATCCAACCATCACTTCGCAGAAAAGAACAAAGAGACTCATTCCAAGCTTTAGGAGCAATCAAGAGACCGTAAATCGCCTTGGCAATTCGCAAAATTTGAGTTGGGGTCATTTGCAGATGAGCCCGAACTTCCGGTGGTGGTAAACCATAGATTTCCTCATCAAGCTCAGACTGCTCACCTTGCAAAAAGGCAGTTTTTATATCTCCTGCACACAACGGAGTTCGGTTTCTACTAGCTGCAGAGACTAAGAGATTGCGGCCCATGGTGGACAAAGTTGGAGCCTCCCGAGGCAAATCTAATGTTGGGTCCTGATTAGTACCTAGGGTCGCTATTGTGGCAATTTTTCCAAATTATTCTGAAACTCATGTATTGTTTGGAGGGTTCGCTTTTGTGGCAAAACAAAATTGGGAGAGCCCTTTTTTTTGCAAAAAAAACTGTAATTGCTGAGAGGCATTTTTTTCTCAAAAACGCTGTAGCTCAGTCAAGGTAGGTTTGTTTGCTGGGTTCACTATTGCAGCAAGCTGTGCCAGAGCAGCTCCTGGAAGCCCAGAAGGGAAGCAAGCCTTTGCCAAAATTGCCAAATTCAAACTCCAAGCCTTTCCCAAAAGAACCAATCCCTTATTAAACCCTTATTAAAGAACAGCTTTTCCACAATTTTCCAAGGCCCTGGACCAGGAGAGGCCCCATTTCACTTTAGTAGGTTTGTTTGCTGGGTTCACTATTGCAGCAAGCTGTGCCAGAGCAGCTCCTGGAAGCCCAGAAGAGAAGCAAGCCTTTTCCAAAATTGCCAAATTCAAACTCCAAGCCTTTCCCAAAAGAACCAATCCCTTATTAAACCCTTATTAAAGAACAGCTTTTCCACAATTTTCCAAGGCCCTGGACCAGGAGAGGCTCCATTTCACTTTAGTAGGTTTGTTTGCTGGTGGCAAGCTGTGCCAGAGCAGCTCCTGGAAGCCCAGAAGAGAAGCAAGCCTTTTCCAAAGCAATTGCCAAATTCAAACTCCAAGCCTTTCCCAAAGGAGCCAATCCCTTATTAAACCCTTATTAAAGAACCGCTTTTCCACAATTTTCCAAGGCCCTGGACCAGGAGAGGCTCCATTTCACTTTAGTAGGTTTGTTTGCTGGGTTCACTATTGCAGCAAGCTGTGCCAGAGCAGCCCCTGGAAGCCCAGAAGAGAACAAGCCTTTTCCAAAGGCAATTGCCAAATTCAAACTCCAAGCCTTTCCCAAAGGAGCCAATCCCTTATTAAACCCTTATTAAAGAACAGCTTTTCCACAATTTTCCAAGGCCCTGGACCAGGAGAGGCTCCATTTCACTTTAGTAGGTTTGTTTGCTGGGTTCACTATTGCAGCAAGCTGAGAGCAGCTCCTGGAAGCCCAGAAGAGAAGCAAGCCTTTTCCAAAGGCAATTGCCAAATTCAAACTCCAAGCCTTTCCCAAAGGAGCCAATCCCTTATTAAACCCTTATTAAAGAACAGCTTTTCCACAATTTTCCAAGGCCCTGGACCAGGAGAGGCTCCATTTCACTTTAGTAGGTTTGTTTGCTGGGTTCACTATTGCAGCAAGCTGTGCCAGAGCAGCCCCTGGAAGCCCAGAAGGGAAGCAAGCCTTTTCCAAAGGCAATTGCCAAATTCAAACTCCAAGCCTTTCCCAAAAGAACCAATCCCTTATTAAACCCTTATTAAAGAACAGCTTTTCCACAATTTTCCAAGGCCCTGGACCAGGAGAGGCTCCATTTCACTTTAGTCGGTTTGTTTGCTGGGTTCACTATTGCAGCAAGCTGTGCCAGAGCAGCCCCTGGAAGCCCAGAAGGGAAGCAAGCCTTTTCCAAAGGCAATTGCCAAATTCAAACTCCAAGCCTTTCCCAAAAGAACAAATCCCTTATTAAACCCTTATTAAAGAACAGCGTTTCCACAATTTTCCAAGGCCCTGGACCAGGAGAGGCTCCATTTCACTTTAGTAGGTTTGTTTGCTGGGTTCACTATTGCAGCAAGCTGTGCCAGAGCAGCCCCTGGAAGCCCAGAAGGGAAGCAAGCCTTTTCTAAAATTGCCAAATTCAAACGCCAAGCCTTTCCCAAAAGAACCAATCCCTTATTAAACCCTTATTAAAGAACAGTATTAAAGAACAGTTTTTCCACAATTTTCCAAGGCCATGGACCAGGAGAGGCTTCATTTCACTTTAGTAGGTTTGTTTGCTGGGTTCACTATTGCAGCAAGCTGTGCCAGAGCAGCCCCTGGAAGCCCAGAAGGGAAGCAAGCCTGTTCCAAAATTGCCAAATTCAAACTCCAAGCCTTTCCTAAAGGATATTAAATCCTTATTAAAGAACAGCTTTTCCACAAGTACTACAAGTACTACAAGTACTACAAGTACCACAAGTACTACAAGTACTACAAGTACTACAAGTACTACAAGTACTACAAGTACTACAAGTACTACAAGTACTACAAGTACTACAAGTACTACAAGTACTACAAGTACTACAAGTACTACATGTACTACAAGTACTACAAGTACTACAAATACCACAACTTCATCGGCAAAAAAAACAATAGTAATTAGATTTCAATTGTAGCCAATTGAAATCCTTACTTAATCGAGGATATGTTTTTCTTTTGGGAAGACTTTTTTTGCTTTTCTACTTTAAAGAGAGTCCAGATATAGTTTAGGGGAGGGATGGGGGGGGGGCCACACACTAATCAGGAACCAACATTACCAATCGCGGATCCTGGAATCCCTTGATGATAAGTCGAGACTTCGCTCGCTTACCAGAAATTTCACCAGCTGAATTAGTGTCTACCTTCCATGTATGAACTCAGCGCATTTGCATCACTCTCTCCGGAGGAATTCCATGAGACTCACAAATCCGAACAGCCTCACTGGAAACATAAGAATCAATCTCCTTCTTCATCGCACGATCAAACTCAGCTTGATCCTCCTTTGAGAGTTTCCGATACACTACCTCGGCATTTTTCTTGACTTTTTGATTTACAACCCAGACTCCACGTCGAGAGTGGATGTCACGAGGAGCAATTTGAAACTCCATTTCAACAACAGCAGAGGAACCAACCAAATCAGAAAAATCACAACGCTGATCACCAACACCAACCCGAGAATCAACTGTCAAGAAGGCTTGATTGCAATTGGATGCCGTGGCTACTTTACATCGCTGAGTTCCTACCTGCCTCACAACTGTACTCTGGAGTCCCGCTGCTGCCCGCTCAAAAGAGCTCATGCGGCGGCCTTCGATTTCATGACTGATAGGATCTCCTGGAGGACACCCTCCACCTGGTTCATGCGATGGTGCAGTCCTGCGACTTGATCCAGACGAGAAGAGACTTGCATCAGCTCCCCTTCCAGAATCTCCAACTTCGTGGTTTCCACTGGATCCCACTCCCCGCTCATCTCGCTCATCAGGTCCATGGGAATCTTGGTCTCCACGACTTTGTCCGGGAGATGGGTGTGAGATGCAGTCTTCGCCTTGTTCCTCACGGAGCTGGCTGGCATCTTTGGAGGGCCGCCGCTTTCGTTGACATCTTTCTCCTGAACTTCCATCTCCAACCTGCGACGCAGGTACACCAACCACTTCTTCATGCCCTGGCCGGACTTGTCGTAATCGGCGTGCTCCACGCACCACTTCACGTAGCCCTTGTCCTCGTAGGCCACCGGAAATGTCTTCTTCTGGTACTTGCCGAAGCTCATCACTTCCTGCTCCATCTCTTCCATCGACAGATTCTGGAACTGCTGGATCTCTTCTGATTCGTTTCCCTCCTGGCTCTTCTGGTACAGAGTCTTCAAGTCCATCTTGGTCGCCATGGGGTCGAAGCTCAACAGAGTCTTCGTCGAGAGGCACTAAGGGAGGTTGGAAAAGTTCGTCAGCTGGTCTTTTGGAATTGAGCCGATAACGGGGCGCATCGTCCTCGTCATATGTTCTCTCTGGTTACCATGGTGCATCGAACTGATCAGTCAAATCAAGATACTTCAGTTGTTGAGAAATTTTCTCCATCATTGAATGAAAGTTTCTGGGCCCGTTAATTTCCAAATCCACGCTACTGAGTTCCCTAGTGACAGGTCGTATTTGTTCCGGTGAACATCTCAACAAAACCCCAGCATGACTCACACACACAATTGATCCCAGGTGTTCTCTCCCAGCTTCGAGATTAGTTCGTTCATGACACAAAACCCTGGCTGGTCCATACCACTTACCTCCATACCTTGAGCCTTCCTTTCGACCTTTTCTGAAATAGTACACCAACTGTCCTGTTTGGAATTCTTTCAACGGCCTACAGCGGTGTCTGAGTGCCCTGGCTAATCGCCTCTTTGCGTCAGCCTCCAAGAAAATTCTCTGTGCCTTCGTTTCCACTTGCAGTGATTCCTCAAAATCAAGTTCCTGCCTTTGAGACTGCAAAGGTAAATTGTCGTAGTTTTGAAGAAATGAGGCAATCCGTCGATGACTCCTACCGAAGGCCCATTGGTGAGGACTATACCCCCGGATATTGTGCAGAGAATTCTTGGCACTAAGCGCCAAGGCCAAAAGTTGATGAGGCTCAAAACTGGTGCCAAGTTCACTGGCAAGAAGATTCATCTGTTCTTTCAGGGTTTGAAGGTGCCTACTGTGCTTACCCATTTGCCAAGCCGATTCTCCAGCAATGGGTTCAAGTTTGATCCCAATTTTTTCCAAAAATTCTTTCAACTTCAGACCCCGGAAAAACCCTTCTTCGTCATACCTGAGAACAACAGGGGCAGGATATCTTTGTAACCAACCCTCGGAAAAGGCTTGAGTGAATTTTTCCCCCGATATGTTATGCATAGGACCCCCAGAACCCATCCGGATCAGAACAGCACCATGAAAATCAGTGGCTTCATCAAAAATGCTCAAACCCACAACATGTTGATTCTTCTCCTTGGGGGCCAAAGCTTTTTCGGGATATTTCCACCAAAAGGTATCAACCGAAACAGTATGCCACTTCTCTCTCACGGTCGCTGGTGCAACTGGTTGTGTCGATGATCGACGACCGCGCTGCAAACACTCTGGGCATTCAAACTTCGCAGCCTCTGATAGTACCTCAGCATCAGCTCCAGCGTCGCGAAGCAACCGCAACATGGTGCTCTGACATGGGTGTCCTAAGTTCCGATGAATGATCCTTAGTTTCTGCTGGAGTTCTGCTGGAGTAAACCTCAGTGCTTCTCCGGGTTCTGCGTCTTCCACCGGCACGACATTTTCAGAGGAATCCCCATCATGCTCTTCTTCCTCAGGGTTTTCTCCCAAAAACACACTATTAACTTCTCCAAAAACAGAAAACAAAGGTTCCAGATCTTTCATCAAAGCTTCGGCAAACCGTCGACACAAAAGAAAGGGATAAACAGCAGTTTTTGACGTGTGTTTTCCTTCAATACGATCATGTTCCCAAGGTTGATGATTGCACTTCAACTCCAAAGCATTCCTTATACCTTGATGAGTGGAACACCAGCCCCAAGGTTTATGGAACAATTTGTGGTTATCCTTGTTGATCAAGCCATGCCGACACCCATCAACACGGAAGCGCTCACCCCCACACAGCCTAACCACGACTCTGACTTCGTCGAGTCCCCAACTGACTGCCCTAAGAGGATGTTCAAAACCCGCATGATGGAAATCCATTTGTTTTTCATCGAAACTCAGATGACTGTTCATTTCCAAAACCTGAATTTCAGCAAGACGGCGACAGTGGTGTAGCAGCTTCCGATGCTTTCTACGAAGCTCAAGTAACCGTTGAATTTGTTCTCTACTCTGATTCAAATTCTGCATGGGTGACCAAGGAAAACAAGGAGGAGAGATGTGAACATACCTGGGTTTCATTTCTCGCATGAATTGAGCAGCTTTACGAAATCCTGACCTAGTCGTGAGATCGTACCCATTATGAAGTCCTAGTGCAAAGGCTCTGCCACCAGCTTCTTCCACTGCCTTCGTGAGTGGGCTATCCCATGGCGCACATATCTCCAAAAGGTCAAGACGGGCTCCCTGAAGAATCTCTTGCAACGCTTGGACTCCTTCTTGAAGTTCCGTGCGCATGCTACTCATGATCTCATTCCTTTGTCCAGTCAAAAGGTTCCTACCCGAAACAGTCCCACACGAACCACAAACACCACTACCATGATAAACAACACTTTCTTCACTAGACACATGCTCTTCTGTCGCAGCATTCCCAGCTAATCTATCCTCCCCACTCAAGACACAAAAATTGCTGGGTTCAAAATTGTCTTGGTGGAGCTGTCCCTAGTGCTGGTCATCTTCAGGTCTGCCCTTCTCAGCACTAGGCAAATCGGAGGAATCATCATCAGTTGATGACTCAGGAGAATCCATGGCCTGTACAACGGGATCTGGCTCAGAGACACGACTCTCTATGTACACGCTGGAATTTCCGGCATATGCTAACAAGGGAACAGCTAGGTGTCCGACTGCGGTTCGGGACAAAACATACTGTTCATTTGAAAGCTTACGGAACACAGCTGTGCCATTTCTGAAATTTACGGTGGCATTCAAATCTGCTAGTAACTTCGCACTCAGCAGGAAGGGCGTAGCGCCCTCAACGAGATGAACCTCCACTTCCAGCTGATGCCCAAAGAGGCCGACATTCACATAGGCTTTTCCAAGAGCTGCGGCACTGGCATTGTTGCCAAAGGTGAACCTCTTGTGCTGTTGTCGATCCACATAGATCTCATCAGCCGCAGCAAAACCCAAAAGTTCCAGCTGTTCTGACCAGTCTTGAAGAGTTTCAACACCAACAATGTTGTCACTGGCTCCAGAATCCAGAATTGCATGGGTATTGAGCGACACCGGAGAAACTTGGTACACCTCACTCCCCTGTTGACCTTGAGCCGCTTCTTCATTCCATCCTACAAAGCCAATGCCCCCATTTCCTTCAGCACTGCCCCGGCCTTGCTGAGGACGTTGAGGACAGTTTCTGGCAATGTGACCTCGTTTTCCACATCGGAGGCGCTGTTTGTCAGCATGTGGATTGTCACCACCTTTGCCAGAGTAGCCCTTCTTGCCAAAGCCCTTGTAGCCCTCGCGACGAGCATTGGGATTCCGAACTGGATAGAATCCACGCGCCGTCCGCGCTGCATCGAGCGCTTCGCGAGCTTCCTTGAAAGTTGCCAGGATGGTGGAATCTTCTGGTTCCTCCAACAGAGCATCAAGAGCTTCCTGATACCATGCAGTGGCATCTTCAAGGATGGCCTGCTCTTCAAGTTCCTCATTCACAGAATCTTTCTCATAGGTCTCCTCCGTCTCATGATAGATTGATGGTTCAGAGGTCTGTTGCGCGACATAGGTCTGACCATCTTTTCTTTTCTTTCTCTCCAAGTCCTTGGTGCAGAGTCCTCCGCCCGACCACATCTTCTTCAGAGCCCCCATGATATCATCCAGCTTGTATGATTCGGCTCGACCTCTCACATTCGCAGCATCGGAGGCATCCAGCTTCATGTACAGATTGAGCAGAACCCACCCGTACAGCTCTGTGGGAATTTTCCCAGTAGAGCCAGTGTCAGCCACTGCCTTGTCAAGACGTCGAACCAGCTGTCGAAAACGGGGTTCATAGTCGGTAAGATCCTCACCGTCCTTTCGATGAGACTCCTTTTTCACAAAGAAGTCAGTGAAGAGGTCACCAAGTACGTCAATCTTCTCTTTGCCTCTCTTGCTCTCAAGGAACTCCAATAGGTATTTCCATCCACCTTCTTTACGAAGCTCCTCTCGGTTGACTTCCCCAAGAGCGTCAAACGCTCGGCCAGTGAGATTTCCAGCTAAACGTGGACCCAAGAGAAACTTGTCATCCTTCTTCGTGGCATCGGCCCGAAGCTCCACTCGTAGGACATAGTCAGAAAAGGTCGTCCAGTCCCCATTCCATGTTGGAATCTTGTGGTCGATTCCATCCTGATCTCTGTCCGTTGCCATGTTCTCCTTTCTCACACAGCCAGCCTAGCAGGAGCCAGGCTCCGCTACCATGTGAATGGTAGAGCGGATGGCAGCAATGTTCTTTCCCAAAGGTTCAAGGATCAAACTCCCGCTTGAGTATGATGGATCTAATCACTAACCAGGCTTTCAAGCACCCACGATAGAAAGACGCCACGTCGATTTTCCGTATGGCGCACAGATCGCAGATGGATGGTACAAAAGGGCAGACCGCTTGAATGGCAACGGTCATTTCCATGCAAAGACAAGTGCTTGAGGCAACTGGATAGTCAAACACAAAGCAAACCAACGTCAAAATTCACACCCCCAAACCCCCATGCTATTCCCAGATTTGGGCTGCTGCAAATAGCATTGTTCTTGTCCTGTTTCAATTAATTACCACTACCAAACCCCCACCAGGCCCCCACGCCATTCCTAGATTTGGGCTCACCCCCATCAAACCACCATCAAACCCCTACCAAACCCCCATGCTATGCCCATGAATGGCACCAGGAAATTGGAAAAAGGCCTGATGGGGGCGAACATAGTCCCCTTTTATGGCACACCTTCTAGGAACACCAGTTCCTTTTCTGGTTGGTAATTATGGCCCCACTATATAACTAAGCCGATGGAGGGCCTTGATCCACAAAGGCTGTGGCCTGCCAATAACAAATATCATCAACTCCCATCAAAGACCCACGCAAGCCCTAGGCAAACTGAGGGAAAAACAAAGGGTTTGTGTAGGGTCTATGGGGTTTTGGTAGGCCCCATAATGTTCCAATAAGGTCCTTACAAGAAGATACCAAAAGCCACTGTAAGAACAATTGCAGCATTTTTTTCCAGAGCAAACTTGTTCTTTCTCTTTCTTTCTCCGTTTCTTTCTCTTTATCTTCCTCTTCCTCTTCCTCTCTCTCCCTCTCTCTTTCTCTTTCTCTCTTTCCCTTTCTCTTTCTCTTTTTTTTATCACTTTCCCTGCACCTTTGGAAAAAAACTTAAGGTGGAAAAGGTGATGCAGCCAACATGCTGAAAACAATTGACTACAAGTACTACAAATATCACAAGTTTATCGGGGGAAAAAAACTAATTAGATTTCAATTGTCGCCAATTGAGATCCTTACTTACATGTGGGATCGTATTTTTTCTGGGGAACCCTTTTTTTTGCACCCCACTTGAAAGACATTTAAGCATACTTTTTAATATACGGATGGAACTGGTGTTTCATACTACCTCCGGTGCCTTGTAGTCTGGCCCGCCCCCCACATATTTAAATGTCCTTACCGTACAAACTGACCTTCCTATCCCCTTGTGGTGCACCCAGGTGGGGTAGGACCCCTGAGAAATATAATGAAATCATAGGTACCCAGGCCCCACATGTTGCGCAAAGAGAAAATCATCAGTCATCCAACTGAGGGATTTGCAAAAATAAAATCAAGAGGTTCCAGAAATAAAATTAATAAGATTCCAAGTCAGCATCCACATGTTCCAGAAATAAAACTAAAAGGTTCCAGGTCAGCATCTGTCTTTCTCAGTTTTCTCTCCCAATGCTGATGGCAAAGGACAGTTTGTTTTCCCTGTGTTGGTGGCATGTCAAGTTTGGTAACAGGGTGAACTTTCAAATCTTTCCGGTGGATAAAACCAGAAATGAATTTTAAAGGGTTCCCAAGTTTGAGCCATGAAAAGGGAAACCCAAAGATGGGGTAGAAGAACTTGAGTTGCGCCATCTATGTCAAATGCAAAATGCAGGAGATAGATGGCTCAACTTCCATTCAAAACAGGTCAGTTGCGCCATGTATGTCCTTAAAAATGACCTATTTTTTGCAACAGATATTATTTTCATCATGTTTTGTCCAACACATGCACAAGAGATGTGTGTTCCACCAAAAAAAAGTAAGCACAACGCAAAAATAAAATCCAGAGAAACCCAACCTAAAGCTACTCCACCAGCTGCTTTTTGGACAGCACTTTTCATGACCCGTGTCTGAAAAATGAAATCATAGGGATCCGAATTACTCAAAACTTATGATAGACACCTTTTGAAAAAAAAAATCTAAAAATAGTTCAGGGCCAAACCCATTGATTTAATTTTTGAGCACCATACAGGGATCATTCCTATCTGACAATTTGTGTGTTGTATATGCATATAATATAATACATTATATCTGGCATAGCCTTCGGGGGTCCATGATGTTCTTCTGAATTTTATGATGCTGTTGAAGCAGTTGGAGCTACAACTTTTGGAAACAGTTCAACGTTTCCTTTTCGCAGGCGCTTGCAACATCAGTGCTTTTGGCACAGTTCTGTGCCACCAGCTTCGCAAAGGGGCAACAGCAAAATCATTACATCATATCTCATCACAGGGAAAAAGGCGTGCCGCAAATAGGAGCATTACTTTGTGCATCCATCATCCTCAACAACTCACATTGCCTGTGCGGTTTGATCATGGCCAAGTCTCCAGGCTTCGGGTTTCAGGCAGATCGTCCTCCTGCAAAAATTGGAACAGCTCCGACCAGCTCGTCTGAGTCACTGACTTGCTCGAAAAAACATCAAACATCTCAACCTCCTCCACATCATGCATGTGCATGTCACCATCTTATACACACATGACTGTCAACAGGACGTCGTCCGAAACAACTCCTCATGCATTAAGCCGCCAAATCCAGGTGATCGGTCCTCCTCATCGATGATTTCCAAGAAGTGGCCTGTTCCCTTCCGGGTGCCTTTTCCGCCGCGGCGGCCTGTGAAGCATTCGTGCTTAGAATTCATTTCTTTCCAAGTTTATCCGCTTGGATCTGTCTGGATCTGTGTTGCTCGAACGTTGATTTTGTTTACATGATCGGGGCGCCTGTCTACACGTCTATCTAATTTATTTGTTAAGTTCGTATAAAACAATTATACACATAGTTGGTTTTGTCTACCGTTCTGTCCACCTATCTACCTATCTACCTAGCTACCTATCTATATAGCCAGCTAATCAAATCGAACTATATCCGCCGACCCCTGCCGAGAGCAAGGGGGAGCTCGTCAGAGAAGAGATTACAACTAGCAAGTGCCGGAGAAACTCGGTACACAAGAAGAAGAAGAAGAAGAAAAAAAAAAGGAAGAAGAAAAAGAAAGAATAATAAGAAACAAAAAAAACATATCTAATAATAGTTTACAAAAAATCAGGCTGGCAGGTCCAGCGTTTTGGAAGGAAGGTGCCAGTTGAAGAGGCGCCAGGTTGGTTTTGGGCTTCCGAGGCGCAAAAAACATCGGTATTTACGGTAGTTTGTGCTCCGAGAGTCTCAAAAAAACATGAAAACACCAACTATTTGACGATCTTTTGGCCACTACGAGATTGAGAAAAAAAATGCAGGGGTAACAGCATGTAACAGCATGTAAAAGCAACAAATTTCAACAACAACAGCAACAACAACAACAACAACAACAACAACGCCAGCAACAACAACAACAACAACAGCAACACCAGCAGCAACAACAACAACAACAACAGCAACAACAACAACAACAGCAACAACAACAACACCAGCAACAACACCAGCAACAACAACAAATAACAACAACAAATAACAACAACAAATAACAACAACAAATAACAACAACAAATAACAACAACAAATAACAACAACAAATAACAACAACAACAACAACAGCAACAGCAACAGCAACAACAACAGCAACACCAACACCAACAACAACAGCAACAACAACAACAACAACAAATAACAACAGTAACAGAGAAATCGGGCGACATTCTGGGCAACAACATGCAACAACAGCAACCCTTGGTGCATCGCCGGAGTGCGAAGCCCTACAATGCAATCCAATCCAATCCGATCCAATGCAATCTATCTAACCTTATTTTATTTATTTATTTATTTATATTTATATATATATATTGTGAACAGATTGATCCCTGTTCCGGATGCGTCAATGTGTAGGAAGTTAGTACCTCGTGTTGTTAGCCCAGCGATTACGACATGCGTCAGTGGAGGACACTCGCGGCCTTTTTCCTTATAGAGCTTGAGCCACATGTAACAGTGGCGAAGTCTGTTGAATGCACATGCATTGCTATGTACATATGCACTACTGTATGGTCCCCTTTAGCACCCCCCATGTTCGCTTTAAAGTACAGCGAACACAGGAGAGGGACCGGAGAAATTGATGATGCACTATGCAACTACCTACACTATAGCTATGGTTCACGGATGGTTGCCCGACGGGCGTTACCAACCGATCCCCATGCCGTCCTCTTCGTGACGAATTATTCGATAGTTACAAAGTGCTGTACAAGTGCGAGATTCGCTTCTAGCTACGTTGTTGACAAGTTCGAATTAGTGGAACTGGTCGTCCGTCGGACGTTACCAGTCCACCGCATCTTTACAAGGTCTACAGCAGCTATCGGCAGAACTACGCCGTACAAAGAAAAGAAAGAACGTTAATTCATTGATCGGGAACACGTGAAAGGATATTCTAAGGCGACTGTACACTAGCCACACTCAGAGTCCTCTCAAAAGATCAATTTTGTCTCGTCATCATCCATAACCAGCGTAGACGATGAACATCACATAGCACCAGGTTGATCACTGATTGGTCTTCTTCTTCTTTTGAGGTGCTTGTTGTGGTTTCTCACTCGGCGGAGGTCGCGATGGTTTTGGCGCTGCTTTGGCAGGCATTGCCTTCTGTGGGAGTTTTGCCTTCTGTGAAGGTGCTGATGTCGGAGTAGTGTACGAAGATGATGATGATGCTGGCTCAGCAGCACTCTTCGAAGGTGGTTGTTTTGGCTTCATGGCCTTGGGCTCATGGCATCACCCTCCCCAGGGGTTTTGTACACCCCCCCCCTTCATACATTTTTTGCAATGTATGAACATAGGGGGGGACACCGTCGATTTTTAACATCAATTCACATATTGCATGTTAAAAGTATGAAGCCCATGGGGGAACCCTGTTCCCTCATGGGCTTCATACATTAACTCAATAATGTATGAAACCTAGGGGGGAGATGCCCCAGCCATCTGCTATTCATTTTTCAATAATGTATGAAAGTAGGGCGGGAGGGTGTTGTTTTGGTGGCATGGACTGATACCTTAAAATGCATGAAACCTAGGGGGGACACCGTTGATTTTCTTCAAGCAGAAATCGTGGGAACATGTGGGACCGACTTTTCAGATAACATACAACGTCATACAACTTCCATCATTTTCCATCAGCTTCCATCAAAATCTGATGACATCTGCATACATCTGCTGTTTCTTTTTCCCGGCGGCTGAAGTCACGGAACAGATTCAGGTCATTTGCCCTTGTAGTCTGGCACCGGCTTCAACAGAGAAAGTTGATTCTAGCAAAAAATGAAACACATAAAAAAACAAAAACACAATCAAAACACAGAATCGCCAAAAACAACCCGACAAGATTCACCAGAAAAAACACAACAAAATCAAAAAACAAAAGCCACAAAAACAATCTTGACAAGTTTTGATTATTTTGTGTTTTCCTAGTTTGTTTTTTTTTCTGTGTGCTCTAGTTTTGTATTTTTTAAACCGCTATATTCTTTATGCTGTTCGGCTCAAAAGCCTGGTATACAAAAAGGATCAAAACAAACTCCTTACCGTTATTTTTGGCTCGAGAGACAAAGAAGAGTCAAAAATGTATGAAAGGAAGGGGGGACAGGCCCACCCCTCCTTAGAATACATTTTCTGAATTTCTGGGTTCGATAATATATGATTAGACTTTAGACATGGTTGGACCTATGGTTGGATATGGTTGGATACACACACACCATCCAATCAAATCCTTTTGTATGTCCTTGTATACAAACAAATACTATCTTACATGTTTTTTTGGATCAAAGGAAAAAGAAAGTTCGAAAATGTATGAATGGGGGGGGGACAGGCTCACCCCTCCTTGGAATACATTTCTGGGTTAATTATGATTGGATGTGGTCCTGGTTAGATTTGGTTGGATACACACAAAATTCTGTTCATTTGCTCTTGTAGTCTGACACCGGCTTCAACAGAGAAAGTTGATTCTAGCAAAAAATGAAACACATAAAAAAAACAAAAACACAATCAAAACACAGAATCGCCAAAAACAACCCGACAAGATTCACCAGAAAAAACACAACAAAATCAAAAAACAAAAGCCACAAAAACAATCTTGACAAGTTTTGATTATTTTGTGTTTTCCTAGTTTGTTTGTTTTTTTCTGTGCGCTCTGGTTTTGTATTTTTTAAACCGCTATATTCTTTATGCTGTTCGGCTCAAAAGCCTGGTATACAAAAAGGATCAAAACAAACTCCTTACCGTTATTTTTGGCTCGAGAGACAAAGAAGAGTCAAAAATGTATGAAAGGAAGGGGGGACAGGCCCACCCCTCCTTAGAATACATTTTCTGAATTTCTGGGTTCGATATATGATTAGACTTTAGACATGGTTGGACCTATGGTTGGATATGGTTGGATACACACACACACACCATCCAACCAAATCCTTTTGTATGTCCTTGTATACAAACAAATACTATCTTACATGTTTTTTTGGATCAAAGGAAAAAGAAAGTTCGAAAATGTATGAATGGGGGGGGACAGGCTCACCCCTCCTTGGAATACATTTCTGGGTTAATTATGATTGGACGTGGTCCTGGTTAGATTTGGTTGGATACACACAAAATTCTGTTCATTTGCCCTTGCATTATTACACCAGCTTCAACAGAGAAAGTTGATTCTGGCAAAAAATGAAGAACAAAAAAAAAAGCAATCAAAACACAGAATCGCCAAAAACAACCCGACAAGATTCACCAGAAAAACAACAAAACAAAAAAAACACAAAAACGGCAAAAAAACATCAATCAAAACCTGGAGTTCGACAAGTTTTATTATTTTGTGTTTTCCTAGTTTGTTTTTTTCTGTGTGTTCTGGTTTTGTATGTCTTAAACCCTGTATTCTTTATGCTGTTCGGCTCTTTCGGCTCAACAAGCGAGGGGTGTGGCCAAAAAAGGCTTTGGGAAGAACTGCGACCGGAAATTAAACATGTTCTTTTTTTCAGTTCAGCAACTCGGGTGTCTAGAAAACATGAAACGTATAAAACTAAGGGGGCAATGAATTCGAGCTGACCTATGAATATCCAAAAATAGACACACGCACGTAAAATGTATAAACCGGGGGGTTCATGGAACACTGAGGAATCCTGGGGATGCCCACGGAATGGTTGGCCAACACGTACGTAAAAAGTATAAAGGCTCAGAGGTTTAAAACCCCTAGGAACCCCAGGAATTCCAAAACCTGTGCAAAATGTATCAAACTGGGGGGGGTGGTTCGAACTGCCTTTGTCAACCCCATCCATCTTCCACCCCCCCCGCGAACGCTACGTGGTGTATAATTTTTTCCCTGGGGAACCCTAGGAAGAAACACGTAAAAAGTACAAGTTTGGGAGCGTACCCCCCCCTCTCTTGTACTTTTTTAGGGGGTGGGTGATCTCATGGCCATGTCCCGAACCTGCTGCGCGTGATGCTTCAGTTGCGCGACGTGCTCCTTCAGTATCTCCGAGTCGCTTGAAGACATCGTCCTTCACGTTGGGGTCAAGATTCGGCGCCATTTTCTCTTGCCAAGCCAATCTTCCGCGTTGTGCTTCCTGTGATGCATACGCCAAGGAGTATGCGATCTTCGACACATATAGATCTGAAAGAACAACTCCGCATTGTTGAGCAGCAATAAGCAACTCCTCGGTACGTTGATTCTCGCG